CTTCTGACGAAGTAAACGCGCAAGACGGTGAGATGTCCGATTTTCTCACGGCGCGCAAATTCGTTCGTCAAAATTCGTTTGCTATAAAAGTCAAAATCGCAGATGGCAACTTTACTTTTTTCGCTAGGTCGCGACATGTGTGAAACGAATCACCAAACTTCTTATATGTGCATCCTTTGGCACATGAAGATGATATTCGGAATTCAAAGAAATGAGTTTTTAGGAAGCACACCACGTTGGGACATAACTGTCCTTCAATACTGGTAAAAAACAACAAACTAAATATCCACACAGATTGGCAGAACAGAACGAAATTTTAATTTAGGCAACTTAATATTTGCGCAAGTCCTTCCTCAGAAGAAAAAAACACTCACCTAGTTTTTTCAACTTCTTATCCCACAGCATCAATTCACAATCGAGGATGCAGTCAGTAACAGTCGATCGAAAAAAAGGGTGAATTCGACCGGATACCAAATCGGTCAGTTTTGACGAGCCTCCGTAATCCTGTATCAAATACCTGATCAAAAGCTAATCAAAACTAAACAATTTACCTTTGTGAAGTCCTTCCCATTTCTGGTATACCATTTATACTTATCCTTATCAATTTTGTGTAAAAGCACGTGTTCTCCATCGTATTTAGTTTCAACAAAGAACTCGTCTCCACAGTTCTCTTTGATCTAAAGGGAAGGATGATGTCGGCTAGCAAGATCCGTACTCCCAACTTATTTACCACTTCCCACCAACCCTCCTTGGGAAGCCGTGCTAGCAGCATGGGACGAAAATTGGCTCCAAGAAGTGACTCATCATCCTGGGCAGTCGGGGCTACAACTTCTGCCAAATCTCGAGCAGCGTTCCATCGGCTCACAGCTTGTGGGCCTAGCCATGACAAAATGATGTTGGTTGCCACACCGATCGTAGACTAAAGCTATAGCCAATTCAATTTTTCAAAAAAAAAAGTTAGAAACGGTTGTGGTTGTCTTACCTCAACATTTTTGATCATTATGTTGAAAATCCAAAAGAGCTCGTCTTGAGAACAGTTCTTGAAGAGGTACTGAAGATTTGCGGTATCTAGAGTTATGAAAGTACTTCGAAATCGTATAAGTTAGTTCCACTTCCAAAAACCACCTGGTCAATATCATCACATTGTATCTAATGAACGAGCCGAATGAATGGAAAGAGAAGAAGAAAAAGTAATCGATATTTATATTGGGTAATGTTACATTAATATTCCAAACCAGAACATACGACAAAATTCTAAAAAATCCCACCTGAACTTTCGCTCATGTTATCTAATCTCTTGTTTATCTCTGCAACCGATAGATGTTCAAAATCTTCTGGTGCGATTCGAGACGAAACTTCGGAAGCCAGAACCTCACAAACTTTTGTAGCATTCTAAAAGACAAGCATTCGGAATGAAATCAAGTTATCAATAATAATATAAACAAAGTTTGGAAGCATCACCTGGACTTTCGCTTTAGGAATATCAGCGGGCTTAAGAGCCAAAGCTTTACAGACTCGGTCAACCAATTTTTTCTGAAGGAACGTTTGTTAGGAAACAAATACAAAAATGGTAACATTCTTAGACTTACTTCTTTGATATTTAAACTCCTTGTGTCCTTCGTGGTAAGCAGGAGGCGCAGGACCTAAATCAGAGGACCTTATCAAAAGCATATACAGCCTCGACATTGCAATTAATTTACAGTAGATTTGTGATCATTCGCTGTGACGCCATTATGTGTGTATGTCTAGTTCTAGAGAAGGATTTCTTTTTTGGTTCATCATCGAACAGTGAAAATATTTAAATGCTAGTATCTTACGCACTTGTAACAACAACGAGTGAGTAAGCTTATTTCCAAACTTTGGAAAAAGAGTCTGAAAAAATCGAGACGTACATTTCGAAACGAGTATTAAACCGTTCGCTGATCAGCTGCATTGCGAAAGGGAAGGAGGCTGAAAGCTAGTGTGCGGTTTGGGGGTCCAAAGCAGGGAGTTTGGGAAAATTCTCCAGTGCCTTTGCTTATAACATATTGGGATAAGCTGGGTAGGTGGGGTTATTGTGCTCTGCTCGCAAACACAAATTAGGTAAAGATTGCTTGCATAAATGCGGATATAACGTAAAACATAGATTTCTCTAAAATCGACTTTTGCAATGGAAAGAGAGAGGTAAACAAAGGTACAGAGAACGATAACCTCTCAAGGTGAGACTGTGAGCACTCTACAAAGGTTCCTATGCAATGCTCTTATCTATTTTGTGCAAAAAGTGAATTACATGGAAAGATGTGCGTTACAACGACTCTTCTTTAAAGAGCTGAGACACTGGAGAAAAGTCGATAAAAATTCGGATTTCTCAAAGAAAGCAATCCTAAGAAGTTGATAAAAACGAGCTTGGGGTCGGCTCTTCAAGCATTTTTGTTTGATCTATTGGATGAAAAGCGGCGAAAAGATGCGGTTAAGAATACAAGCCAATAGGATGAATCTATCGAAAAATCAAGAACTTACCGGGTGAAAACCCAGCTCAACATCCTCTCCTTCACCACATTTGTCTGCGCAAGTCGCGACAAACTTTTCAAAGTGCTTCTTTCGCGTTACCGAAGCAGTAGCTCCCTTTGCCTCGCGTAATTTCGCTAACAGAACACATAAATCAGCAAATTTCAGCGAATCCGCCAGCATGCCCTAGAGACATGGTTTTGACATAGGTAATGTACCTCCTCACTTTTGAGCATGCTCATTTTCAATATACAAGCCAGATATACAGAAATGGTAGGGAAAAACACTCATTATTGGATATTGAAAGAGGAAAAAAGTTGAGTAAAACTCACTGAAGAGGGTGAGAGGATTGGCCGAGGACTGATAATAAACTGTTGATGCCCTCTGTAAGACTTTCGTTGATGGAACTTGTTTTTTTACCTATGTGCAAAAATTACCCGTCAATATCAGGCCTGTTACTCTGCATGAACACACAGATAATTGATTTTAATCTTTATTTCAAAGTAATTTACAGAGCTGCATTTGCACTGATGCTGAGGATTGCAAATCTATCAAATGCTCGTCTTCCTGAGAATACACTAGCAATTCTAATTTCCCGCACTATCTTGAGATGGAGCGAATAGCTCTTTGACACTAGTGAGATGGACATCAATTATGAAATACAATGTTAGCCCTCCTCCACGATAAAT